CTCTCGTCCTTTCCCAAATTTGCATTGCAGGAAACGGAGGAGAGCACTGTCATCTTCCTAATAGGATAAGAAAAATAAAACCATTACGTAGCCCTCCAGAAACTTCTTAGTCACAGTCATACAAGTGAAAAAGAAGAAAAATGGACAGTAACCCTAGACGTTGCTTCCCAGTTAGTTACATGTTCTAAAGTTATAAGGAATCAAAGAAAATTTGTTGACGAAAACCAACCAAACCTGCTTGGCATATAATGAGAGAAGTAAATTGTGAATCCCTGGATCCTCGTTATGCAAACGGTGGACGCAAAACTCAAGATATTTTATGACTTCGTGTGTCTCATTCCTGCATTTTGATTTTAGGAGTTATTGTAGAAATTGATAACACAACATGAATAAACATATAGTTGAGAAGTGTGCCATTACTTTGCATGAGGTTCGCTTGAGTAGCGCATCATTGCAGTAATTAATCTCCTTGGATTAAGATTTTTGTTGGCCATCCATGCTTCCACAGTTTCATATGCGTCAAGCATAATAAGCTCCGGCGCAAATTTATACTGCAGTGAGCAAAATATATTCTGGTTTACAGGACAAAACAAAGATTGGGAGATTACATGATATCACAAGACCCAGTGCTAATATTTACAGACCTGAAGCTCATCTGATACTGAAGATTTTTGGAGCACCACCAATGCTTTCTTTGCTTCTCCTTGCTAATGGATAAATATGAAACTCATAATGTCAACTGATCAATCCTGAGTAAGATATATTTTCTATATGGATCAAGTATGAAAAGAAAACTTATCACGCCATTAACCTGGATATAATGGTGAACTACAATTTCATATTGCTCCTTCAAGTTTGCAAAATATACCAACTCCTCAACCCGACCATAACTACAGGAGAAGGAAAAAAGAGATAAGAAAAAAGAAGAAGAAAGGTGGTGTCTTATACTGTAAACAAGACATCCTAGGAGATGTGATGAAAACTTTCTTTTAAGAGAATAGCTTATTCCACAAAATAATACAACATCACTATAAAGGTCCAAGTGCTCACTGTCTTAGGGATATAATTTAATAGATCGCCTGGGATACTTGTGGAATTACCTTTCCAGAAGTTTCATTGTGGTTGCCTCATCCAATACATCCTTGCAGTCGCTCATGAAAGCACGGAATTCTTCAATGACCGAGTGATACTCAGAGTCACGATTTTCTATAGCAGTGTCATCTTCCAAAAGCAGCCGATTAATCTAATTTAGCATTCAACAAACACGAGACCAAAAAACAGGACACAAAAAGTCAGAAAGAAAACTGGGGGGATATAAATAAGAAGAATAGGGAATACTAGATGTAGATGACATAATTTTTTTCTAAATATATGTTAAACGTGAAGTGAGAACAAAGACAACAAAAGCTAGACCTTGTCCAAATATAGCTCAGTTGCCCATGTAGATATCATGGTTATCTGGCATTTATCATCCTTTGAAAGATTATCAAGCTTCCGCAACAAGAATGTTCTCAGAGCTTCCTGCAATCACACAAGGAACATAAGACAGTAAAAATTGAAGCCCACATGTAAACACAGTTTCTCTCTCCTGAACAGCGCACACTGGATTAGAGATTATTTATGTCCTATAATTAAAACTAGCAAAGATACAAACATAAATGTTTACCGGTTCGTTTATACTAATAAACTTCAAAGTGACTTCCTCAAAAGATATTACGTAATTGATCTGCAAAGAAAACATAGTACCACGTCAATGATGAATTACATCAAGTAAGAACAAAGTAAAACAGAGGAACTAGAAATTACTTTGGCGTAGAATGATGCTGCTCGCAGATATTCCTTGTTGGTGAATGCAGCTTCTGCCTACAACAGAAGATGCCCAATCCACAAATAATCAAAAGAGAGATTCTTTCTGACAAGTATCTATAGGCAGGCGACAGCAATAATACGATAATAAAAGGATTTGTAGATATGACACCTATGACATGAAAGCCAATGCCTATTAACTTAAAGATGACGTCAAGAATCACCTGAACTAAATAAACTTGGTCTCTCTGAAGAGGGTCACGACAGTTTGCTAAAGCTGCAGCATAGACTTTCAAGTCTAGGTAAACCTTCCACATATCCCGGCCTTCATCAACCACAGAAACCTAAAGAATATATCCAAATCCCAAATAAGAAGTGAAAGCAGAAGATGTTAGAAAAACTCCCTCAGCCACTTTTACTATCATTATAAACGACTAAGCCAACAACAAAACAGACCTGGAATATCGAATTTTGATCATATGCATAGAAAATGCTAGCAGAAGCATCGCTGCAAAGTCCAATTATGCCCCTCGTACCTGAATCTGTCGTTATATCAAACTGGAGCTCTTCTATGATTTGTTCACTTATCCGATTCACAACCTACCCCCGCATTGAAGGAATGCAGAAACCAGAAAGTAAGCACACTTATGAAACAAAGCACTTATATGAGCCATATCAAACTAAGTACATACACGGGGAAAGTATCACCTTTCATCTGTCCAAACATACCTTAACCTTATTCCCAATAAGAAGCAAGAAATGATACTCAGAGAGTGCCATTGAACTAGGCTTGACTGCTTCAGTGCCATTACTCAGTTTTGAGTAGTCCAAGAGTGCTTTGTTCTCCACAAAATTCTCATCACCATTTGGATAACTATCAACAAGTTAAAATCAAATTACAGAATGAAGGAACCAAAAGATATGAAAGTGAGCAACAAAAAGAAAGATCCCAATAAGTATTTCAGAGGGACATAGCCATATAAGTACACTATCATTCTACCTGTGCTGAGCTCCAAAATTTAGGCCACCATGATAAATTCCTGTTCCTGAAAGCCATGCAAAATGCACCGCTCTTCGTTGATTTATATAGAAATGTAGTTCGCTGAAAGACGATAAAACATTATATGTTCAGAGAGCAGAATTACACTTTGTAATGTCTTTCAAACGCAAAATGAGCCTAAGGTAACTTAATAGCTTGCCTGTTTGGTATTTCACCAGGAAGTTCCATAAAATGAACTGCACGTTCTTTATAACTAGCAAAAACAGACTGGAGTAAACACTTAGAAGTTAGACATTGAACATAAGAAAAGCTAATCCACATTTGCCAGAGATAACAGATTTGAAAGCAACACAGATCTAAAAAGTAAGATGTTAGATCCAATTTTCTGATGTGATATCTGAAATTAGGAAGGGACAATCATGTATGAATTTGACAGCCCAACCATATCGACCAATAAACTGGATCATCTTCAATAAATATATTGTGAACTTCCACTTAACCTCCTAATGCTCCCATTTCATAATAAGAAGTTAGTTCTACGATCGTGACATTTAATGTTCCTATATTATTCATAAGATCGGGGTCCATAATTCATCAGATAGCAGAAGAGAATTTAGCTTACTTCTAATGTTCCAATCCCGGTGAATGAGTAGAGTCGAGTGGGAGTTACAGCCATCACGTAGTACCTCATCCCACTGCTTATGTTAGCCGTTTCCATCTACACATTAGTTTCAATAAAAGACAGTGGTTAGAATAGCAAATCCAATGGAGGAAACAAGTAATTTCAACTCGGTATAAAATGTCGGTACCTGCAAAGCCATGAAGGCCTCTGGAAGTTCTTCAAGTTCAAATAAAAACTTGATATACTTCTCTCTCTTGTCTTTCTCATCCACGGCCATCTCAAATAGCTGCCCATCCTGAGTGCCCAGAATGATCTCCTTAGTAGAAACTGAATTCAGGGAAAGACAAAACAAACAAAATCATCAATATTAATCCATGTGAGAACGGAGAGATAGAAAAAATTATAGACTCATCATATAACACTAAAAACATAACCTTCAGTAATCTGTTGCCTATTCCAAGCCACAGCATTAACCACCAAACCTTTAAAGCGGCTCAACACACGCGGCTTAAGCCAATTAGCATGAGTATAAAACGTTTCAGCTCCTCCAACACCAGTGACAGTAGCAATGCAATGGCTACCACCGGGATCAACAAAAACCTTGTGAATCGATTGTTCCCCGGTTCGACCAACAGAGAGATCAATATCTACATCCAAAAGAAAAAAGATTTGACTAATTTTCTCACAAAACTGAACTTTCACCACTGAAATTTAAGAAACAAAAGGGAGATGAGAGAATTGAAAATACCATTAGAACCCCCAACTCTGAAATCATGGCGTATAATCCATCCTTTACTAGTACCAAGAACAATGACATCATTCCCAGCAGCCATACATGTAATCATGCCACGATTCTTTGTGGCATATCTCTCCAGAAGATCAACTGAAAATACTTGCCTTCCTTGATCCATCTTCTTCCCCCTCCCCCCTCTCTTTATTAGAACTGCACACACACAAAAATACTTATATAGACTTCAAACCATCATCCAGATTTTGAGCTTTTGACCGATCAATCATAAATACAAAAAAAAAAAAACAAAATTCGAAGATGAGAGATCAATTCGGGTTGTGAAATCTCAGAACGAACACAATGGGACAAAATCGAAGTTAGCACATTGGTTACAACAATAAAATTACTAACCTTCGTCGGAGATTTAATCGGCGACGGCGACCCGACGAAGCAACAGCTTCCGACTTATTTTGATCTGTCTGTCTGCTCTCGTCGCATCCAACAAATTCAGGCCGACTCAACAAAACAACCCCAAAACGACTGCGTTTTGATCTGGTTTAGTCTGGTTAGGCTAGTCCAAACCGAGTTTTTTACAATAAAAAAAAACGCACCGTTTTAGAGTTACCAGAGGCCTTTGAAAGGCCCAGTTTATGATGATCGATTATTTCCTTTTCTCTTTCGATATAAATAAAAAAAGAAAGAAAAAAAAAGTGGAATGTATATCCGATTTGGGTCATTGTAGCTTGTGGTTGCGGAGGATGAAGACTAAAGGGTAACATGGTAGTTTTACATTCATCTCCCTCCAAAAAAATCTCAACGACTAAAAGAATCAAAACCCTTGAAGCAAGCAACGAATCAACGCCACTACCAAAAAATTCCAAACAACGACATCAGAAAATTCGTACTAAACAATTATCAAAGCTTCTCTCTGTGTTCTTTTAGTTCGCCGCTGACCCGATAATCCATTTACCCGACCTGGTTTCTAAAACTCACTCTAAGCTTCCGTTGTTCGCATGAGTTGGGTATAATGACCCGTGCCGGTATCTACCGGAGCCGGAGGGATACACACGATTCAGAGACATCTTCCGGGAAAGGCGGCGAACAACCGTGATGAGAGTGATCGTGCCTTTACAAGGAGTGGTTCAAGGCCGTGGTGGTTTAGTCTTGGGCTCTGTAATTCCTTGTGCTTTCTTCTACTTTCTCCAGTTTTATCTCAAACGAAACCGGATAGACGAACCCGAATCCGACCCGGCTATTCAGAACTCAGCCTCCTCTGCCAACAACTCGGGTTCCTCGAGTCCGACTCAATCGGAGCTTAATGGGTTGTCCAGGTCTCTCTCTCGGGTCAATATCACGCCGAGAAATTCCGGGGCTCACGTTTCTGTTTCGGTTCGGGCCAATAGTATCCTCAAAGGTGGGGATTCGCCGTATCACCTGGGACTGAGACGGGTCGAGGAGGATCCGTATGACGAGTCGGGTAACCCTGATGGCATCATCGAGCTTGGTTTAGCTCAGAACAAGGTCCAATAAGATCAAAAGTTTCGATTTTTTCTTTCGTGGTTCTCTGATTTTTTATAATCTACAATATGTTCTTCTTTTACAGTTGAGCTTGGATTGGGTTTCTCAAACTTCAATTGGAGTGCGTTTCAGTGGGGTTGCTTCATATGAGCCTCCTGATGGACTCATGGAGCTCAAAATGGTTATTTTCTTTTCAACTCTAAATTTTTTACCTTTCATTGACCCAATTATGATACAAATGAAATATTGAAGGAGGTGTAGATTTTCAAATTCTTTAGCATACTATTCGAAATTTACTATCTGTTCTTGATCATGCTTTACTGTCTACTGCTTTTGGATACTTCTAAGTTCTTGTTTTTTATCGAATGTGGATTTCTCATTTATATTGGAGACAGGGTGTGACAAGGCTCATGTCTGAAGCAACCAAGAATGCTGTTACCTTTGATCCATCGCAGTTGGTACTAACTTCTGGTGCAGCTTCAGCTATCGAGATTCTTTCCTTCTGCTTAGCTGATTCTGGAAACGCTTTCCTTGTTCCAACGCCGTGCTCTCCCGGGTAACGATTTCAGTTTATTGCTTGACTCTCTCTGGCTGCATAAGAATACTAATAGTCTGTAGCTTTAAAGCTGTTCGGTTTCTGCAGATTCAATGTGGATGTTAAATGGCGAAACGGAGTTGAAATCATACACGTTCCTTGCAGGAGTTCTGATAATTTCAATATATCCGTGACTGCGCTTGAACGGAGTTTCTCTCAAGCTAAGAAACGCGGTGTGAGAGTCCGCGGAATCATAATCTCAAACCCTTCCAATCCCATGGGAACTCTCTTGAGCAGAGAAAATCTCTATGCTCTTCTGGACTTCACCCGGGAGAAAAACATTCATATAATTTCCAACGAGATATTTGCTTGTTCGATCTACGGAGATGAAGAAGCAGAATTTGTCACTATAGCTGATATAGCTGAGACAGAAGAGAATCTTGACAAGGAAAGAGTTCACATCGTGTACGATCTGTCAAAAGACTTGTCTTTTCCAGGACTCAGAGCTGGCGCCATATACTCCTTCAATGAGAACATTCTAGCAGCTTCGAGAAAGCTCACAACGCTCTCACCGGTGTCATCGCCATCCCAACATTTGCTCCTTTCCGCAATCTCCAAACCGGAATTCATTCAAACATATGTAAAAACCAGTAGGCAGAGACTAAAGAGAATCTACTCAGAGTTTGTAAAAGGATTGAAAGGTTTAGGAATCGAGTGCATGAGAGGCAATGGAGGGTTGTTTTGTTGGGCAGATATGAGAGGATTGATGTCTTCTTACAGCGAGAGAGGCGAGATTGAGCTTTGGAACAAGTTCTTGAATATTGGTAAGATCAATGTAACACCAGGGTCCTGTTGTCATTGTATTGAACCAGGATGGTTTAGATTCTGTATCAGTAATTTGTCTGAGAAAGATGTGCTTGTAGTTATGAACCGTATCAGAAAAGTTTGTATAACATGTAAATCTCAAGATTGAAAATGCTTATCTACATTCGTCAAAACTCGGTTTGGTATTGTGTTAACCAGACTAACAATTTCATTGAACAAATGTAAGCCTAAACCGGAATATCACCAAAATCCAAAAGAATAACTTATTTCCCCTTAAACCCCACTTTCTAAGCTCTAAATACTACCCTGCACATTTTCTATGCAATCTTTACTCATCATGATCCAAATCCATTTCTGATTGATTCAAGAACCTGCACAACCTCAGCCATACTCGGTCTCTTCAATGGGCTCTCCGACGTACAAATCAGTCCTAACTTCATGACTTGAATAAGCTCATTCTCTTCGAAGTCTCTCAACCTTCTGTCAAAACAATCAGAAGCCGAACCAGTCTCCGATAAATCCCTCACATAATCTCTCAAGATCAAGACTTTGTTTTCTGATGGAGACTCCACTGGTTTTCTACCTGTAACCAGCTCAAGAAGAACTACACCATAACTATACACATCGCATTTATCACTTGCTCTCAAACTCTGCTGAGCTAGTTCGGGAGCAATATACCCCACTGCGTTGTGGAACTTCTTAGTCAAACCAAAGCTGTCCATAACCGGAAGAAACTTTTCTAGTCCATAATCCGATAGCTTTGCCTCATATCTTTCATCTAGAAGAATGTTGGTGGACTTAACATTGAGATGAAGAATCGCCGGTTTACAGTCATTGTGAAGGAAAGAGAGCGCTTTTGCGGTCCCTAAAGCAATCTGAAATCTTCTGTGCCAATTTAAATCGGTATTCCCATGGCTTGAGCTGGTTCCCGGGTAGATTCTTAGGTGTAGATTATCGTAGAGGCTACCGTTAGGGACAAATTCAGAGAGAATCAACTGCATAGTTGAGGAAAAGTAGTAACCTTGGAAAGAAGACAGATTCGTATGTTGCAAACCTCCAAGCCGTCCAATTTCCTGCTCAAACTCTTCTTGGTTTCTGATTCTTCCTAAAGTCTCAAGCTTCTTTACTGCAATGGAAACCCCTCCTTCGAAAGATGCTCTATAAACTGATCCAATCGACCCCATGCCAATAATATTTTCCTTGTCGAGCAAAGCTTTTGTACCCACCTCCCAATCTTCATACTTTGATGGCAAATTCTTGCTGAAAAGAACAAGTTTTCCGATAATCACACCAGAAGAGTCAATTGAAGACGCCAGAGGAGTGGTTTCAACTGTAAGTATTTCTTCGTTTTTCCTCCTTTTACGAGCTCTTAGATTCAAAGCAAGCACTATACAGACACCGAAGAGGATAACAACAGCCGCAATAATAACAATGATAACTGAAATGCTTAGAGCATTAGAATTTCTGGATGTTGTTGCAGCTCCATGTGAATTGCAGGGAGTTACAAGTGGATCACCGCAGAGGAAAGGGTTGTCCAAAAATGCAGAAGATCCAAAAGCTTGCATCACTGGAACATGAGGGATAACACCGGAGAGATTGTTATAGGAGACATTAAAATGCGTTAGTGTATTCAAATTCCCGAGGGAAGATGGGATTGACCCTGAGAGCGAGTTATGTGAAAGATCAAGAAACTGGATTCTGGAGAGCTTTCCAAGATCAGATGGGATACTTCCATTGAGATGGTTTTGATGCAGATCAAGAATCTCTAGGTTTGTTAAGTTTAATAGCTTCTTAGGGATCTCTCCTACTAAATCATTCCCTGAAACATCTCTGCCAACAACAACAAAACATTTTACAACAATGTGAGATTCAGAAATCAAATACAGTAACAAGAATTGAACAATAATTAGAACTTACAGTTCAAGAAGTACTCTGCAATTGGATATATCCTCTGGTATTTCACCAATGAGGTTGAGATTATGCAGATTCAAAACCTGTAGGAACTCCAAATTTCCAATCTCCCTTGGTATCTCCCCATCTATAGAATTATCACCTAATCTGATCACCGAGAGTTTCTCCATCTTCCCGATACCTCCCGGGATACTCCCATTCAGCTTGTTAGACTCCACATCCAAAAGTTTGAGACTTTTGCACCCCGTTACACTAGTAGGTATCCTCCCGGCTAACTCATTCGATGAAGCATCCAAAAACTCTAAACTATCACTGCAATCAGTTATCTCTCCAATCTCCCCACCAAACCGGTTCCAAGAAACATTGACATAGGTTATATTCTCGAATCTAAGAACCTCAAAAGGCGCTGATCCATGGAACAAATTGCTTCCGAAATCGACAAGACGCAATCTCTGACATTTAGGTATCTCCTCAGAGACATCACCAGATAACAAATTGTTTCTCACTGAGATATACTCAAGCACCGGAATTTCACAAATCCTAGGAGGCAACACTCCCTTCAGATTATTGTAAGACAAATCAAATCCTTCAAGGTTGTTACAGTTCACGATTGAAGCAGGGATTGATCCAGAGAGATTGTTATGAGACAGTGAAACAAATTTGGTCTTGTTACAGAAATTAAACAGAGAAACCGGAATCTCTCCAGAGAAACCATTTCTAGACAAGTCGAGAAACCTTAAGCTAGACAAATCACCAATAAACTCCGGGATTGAACCAGACAACGAATTCGAACTAACATTAATCGTCCACAAAGTTTGTAACTTTGAGTAATCCAACGGTAAATTACCTGTAAACCTGTTGCCAAACAAGGTCAGAACTCGAACAAACTTCAGATTTGACAATCCCGGAGATAGGGTTCCGGCGAGACTTGTATTCCACAGAACGATTTTGTCCACGAAACCTTCTGGGTTACAAGTGACTCCATTAAAGCTGTTGCAGAGGTCGCCGTCGGAGACCCAAGAGGCCAAGCTGTTGTACGGATCGTCACTGACACTGTCTTTGAACTGAAGCAAAACGTCTCGCTCATTGATTGTATCAGAGCGAGCAGCTGAAATGTAGGTGAGAGTTAACAAAACCAGAAAAAGATGAACCTTTCTCATGTTCAGCTGATAAAGGCGTCTACCCAAATGACATTCTCGGTTCAGGATCCGAACCCGAACCCGAAACTGAACCCGGTTTGATAATCTACAATCTTGAGCTCCAAATTGGGATCCGTCCTTCAACACCAGAATCAAGAACAAGTAGCAGCATTTATGAACCGAAATGTGAAACTAAACGGTTGATTTTTTTCTTGGGATTGAGCTAAAGCTTAAAACTTTTGAGCTGCTTCTGCATTTATTTAAGTCATCCTTAACGGCTAGAAAGAAAGAAGAAAAAAATCTACCGACCAAAGTCAACACTCTCCAAGAAACGACAAAAGAAGAAAGAATCACAGATTCAAGAACTACCCATGAACAGAGAATAAACCAGATTTGTGGGGTTTTTGCAAGTTTGTGAACCAAACACAACTGAAAAAATAAAATAAGAAGGTGGTTGTTCAGGACAGAACTGAGCTCATCTTGCATTATAGAGAAGAAGAGTAATGTGTGTGCCTTGGCTGGAAAGTTAACTTAATGAACGAATTAAATTCTCTCACTCTCTCTGGCTTCCACCAAACGAAGAAGAAGCACGTGCCTTGCTTTGTTCATCGTCTATATGTTCGATACATACAATGTCATATATGTGTATAAGTAAACATTATATGTAATGGAAGGAGAGTGTCTGCTTGTCTGTTCTTCTACCAAAGCATTTATTCTCTCTTTCACCAACTATCATGCCATTAAACAATCCCTACCTAATTGTTTTCACAAATTGTGTGAATAAAATTCTAGAAATACCGATTTTTTTAAGAAAAAAGAGAAAAACAAGTAGTTATGGTCTGGTCCCCATTGCAAACATATTGAATGTGTGTACAGAGAATTGTACATTTAATATTTCTATTCAAATGATCAGAAACTATTGGGACTTGGGAGTATATATATTTACATATTTTCAAGTTTTATAGTACATGAATGAGTTGATTTTAAGGCAATCTTGAATCTACATGGCTTTTGATGATCATCATTCAGGGTAGTTATAATTTGTGATATGTGTTGGGGTTAATTCATAATAAGTTAAGAGGTCCAATTCCAAATGAAACTTTTGGAAACTTATGGGCTTTTTTAAAAAGGGGAAGAGAATTAGAGACAGAGACGGATGAGTGAGTGACCAAAAAAGCAAAAACGTCTTTCTGTCATTTGTTTGTTTCTGTGGCTTTTCTTCTCTCTGTTTTATTTCATTGAGTTTGCTTCTCTATTTTGTTTTTGTTCATGATTATGTTGAAGATTTTTTTGATTTAGTTCTCTGAGAGGCTCATTGATGGATAAAAGATAATTCATCAAAGCATAGAGAGGACACACAATCTTCAAGATGAGTCATTGAATAGCAATTCAAAATCATTACCATTGTACACTTGTCATAGTAAATTATTTTGCCTTTGTAACCATTTTCATAGATGTCTTGTTCCAGTTTCCAATCATGCTTTGTGTCGGGAAATTTAATTGAATCTCTTTACAGTATTAACGTCACTTTTATTATTGTACTACAAGAAGAAGAAAAAAGTAGTAGATTGAAAAGAGTTTAGATGATCTAATCAATATACATTGAAAATTTTCAAAATTCAGTTGATATATATATTATATACAAGAAAAAGACATAAAAATATTCATTTTCAAATGAAGATGAATAACAAAAAGAAAACAAAACATATATATTATGAGATCAATTTCAAGTCGTGTTAGATGGGGGCATGTTGTGGTAACGAAGCGCTTCGTGGTGAAAAGAGTTAAAGTATTGGACTTTGTAGCGTCTCCACTTCCTCTGCTTGCATTGCACTTAGTTTCTTCTTTGCATAGATTGTGCAGACTATAGTTGCGCTTGCAGTTACACAGAATCCTACAACATTCACGACTATCTCCACAACCGAAAGCGTGTGTCTCTCATCTGATGCAACTGCTAGTGTTCTTAGCATTATTCCCCTGCATATAACCAAAAAAAACACCAATCTAAGATTCTGCAGAAACATGTCTGAACACAGAGACAGGAGGCAGAGAGAAGGAGGCATATACGTGTAAATTGAGACGAAGATCTCAGGAACCATTCCAACAAGAGACCCTAAGATGTATGGACCGTAGTGAACTCCAGTCGCTAATGCGCAGTAGTTGTATATTATGTAAGGGAATGGAGAGACACGGATTAGAGTGACTGCTTGAAACTGATGAAACCATGTTCCTTCACCAGCAGCTCTAAGTATGGCTGCTTTTTTCGGATATTGCTTCAGCCATTCCTGCACAAAAGACCAGGAAGAAAATGGCCAAGTTGATCATCTATAGTTTAATAAGTATTCAAGCCAAAGAGTGCACAAGATTCCAGTGTTTGAGATGATGCTTACTTGCATCTTGTGGAGAAAGAGATGTCCGATTAAGAAAGGAAGAGTAACACCTATTGATGCTGCTGAGAAAATCAATAGAAACCCCTTTCCATAACCAAATGTAAGACCAGCCATCCACATGGAAGGAGAAGATGGAAGAAGAATGCTTGGGAACAATGCCACCGAGGCAAAGAGTAGAAGACCGAGAATTGGAATGCTGAAAGTGTTTCTCACCCAATTTATAAATGGAATCAGTTCCTGAAACGTAATATGTAAACACAGCAGCATATATGAGGATATACTTCACGTTTCATAACATAAAGAGACCAACTCTATTAGACTATCACAGATCTCAAAATTTGCATGATATTGACAAACATCAAAATGGATCACTTTACAAACACATACACAAAATGCTGCAAATCCATTCAAGTAATTCAAATTTATGTACAAATTTACATTCAAACTTAACGCTGGTGAGCTGCAATGGAGTATAAAGACAGCAGCCACGCCACAGACCTCCCAATAAACAATGTCTAACATCACAAGTGAAACTACAGATACGTTTGGAACAGCAAGTAAACATAGTAGATGTGAAAACACCAAATAGAGCTCATCGATACTATACAAAATGGCAAACCACAGACAATTTACATTTTGCAGAATTGGACGAAATTTCCAAGCTTTGGTGGCTGAGCTCACAAATTATCTGGTGTTAATAGGTTATACAGCGCCAAAATTTGGCATTCAATGAACTTATACATGTTCTCAATGTAAAGACACAAGAACCCTAATTTTCAAAAAATCAAAACCCACCAGAAGAAGCTAGAATCCTTACGCATATCCTAATTCAATCAAATGCAACCAATAAGCAAGCATCAGATCTTCGACAGAAAGAAAATAAAAAACCAACCTTTTCGATCAAAAAGGGACCAATCCATTTGATAATTACAAAAGCCAAAGAACCCAAACAAACGCCCAGGGAGATCAATTTCACCCAGAACCAGACAGAAGTAACCGATCCAATCGAACATCCCGATGATGATGATGATGATTCCGCCGATGAACCTTCTTCTTCATCCGATCCTCCTCTCAATTTCACATAATCACCATTTTCGGCTCTCAAATTCAGCTCAGGCACCGTCCCATCGACGCCATTGCTGTACGTCATAGATCGAGAGAAGATTACCCTAAAAAAAAATGAATCCTTTTTCCCAAAACAAAAACAAAAAATATCTGAAAAGCTTCCCGTCAGATTCGTTTTGCGCCTCTGTTTTTGTCTTCGGTTTCCTTAAGAGTAATGAGACCGTTAGATCAAATGGTGGTGATCGGAGAGAGCGAATGGGTTTAGAAGATAGAAGCATCTGAATCATATTATTTCATTACCATAATTTAAAAAGGAAGAATAATATCCCAATAATTAGGTGGTTTACTTTCAAATTATTAAACCGGTGTCGCAATCAGACAAGTGGAGACATATGGTTGGCTAATAGCTGTTTTGCTCACGAAGCGCCGAGTCAATCATATGGCTAAGCGAGTTGCGTTGCTCTCGAGTCTTGAGAGTTGAGTCCCTTCGCTTTATATTCGCTTTGCCGTCACGGTGGGTACATCATACATGTTGTATGTTCGGATGTTCCTTTCTAACTTTGTTTTTTTTTTTGCAAAAACTAATATTGATGAGATGTGTAAAAATATAATTAGTTTTGGATAACATATGCTTCATGATGATTGATGAAACTATACAATTAACGACTAACGATATATGTAAATCATTCAAATTTAGTTGCTTTGAAGCATCAAAGAGAAAGAGGGAAACAAGACAATGAAAAGCAACCCAAATATGATACTTAGAAGCAAATGAAAATAAAATAAAATTGGTCCCTAAATAATTTAAGTTTCTTGTAAGTGGACATTTGTATATTACTAATAACACGAAGCACCAATGAAGAGCATAAGAAGTTATATATATATATATCCGATTCTTACATAAGTCAATTTCAAACATAGACATATATTTAGAAGTGTAGATCACAAGTTCACAACTACAGGATAGGAACATATATATACAACATCAGTTTGAGAAAAACAGGAGAGTAGTTTGCTGAAAATAAAAATGCAGGTTCAGTTTTAGCTTTAAAGAAAAGAACGTAATTTTGTGTTAGGCTCATCAGGACTCGTTATTATATGTTTACTGTCTGTAAACACACTTTGCGTGAATCACCTAATCAATTTGATGTCAAGACCCGAATGTTTTCACCCACATAGCATTTTGGTAACATAATGGTACGTAGAAGAAGGAATCTACCATTCTTAAGTACGTACGCGCATAGTAGGATCACATCATAATCATCAACCTCATCACATTCCCAATCAAATCACACACAATAAAAAAGAGCGACTGACTAATCGCGTCGGGACAAACGCGCCACTTTCCTTTCTTTATCCTCTGTTACGTCACCGTCCAACCAGCTCAGCCTGTCCCCACAAACCAAACCCGGTTCACATAAACCGGTTTATCATCTATCTATCACGAACTGAGAACCAAAACTTTATCCGTAATCCACAAACACCCAAAAAAAAGTATCGACAACCCCACCCATTTTTATATCAACTTTTTAATACAAAGTTCCAATCACTACCGTTGGATTATAAAACGATGAGTTCATCACTCTCCGTTTGTTTCATCGAACGACTATTATAAGACGATGTGTAAAATATCCCGTGCGCCTCAACGCATACGAATAAAACCATTTGACCACAATCACATAGACAACCGCAAAAGAACCAAAAGAGTCTGGTTTCTGTTTTGTCTAACTTTTTCTCTCTGGCGAAAAGCTAAAGAGGCTTTGGTTACGGTCTCGGTCTCCTATCAAATCACGAACTTCTTGTCTGTAATTTTGCTGTGATTTATACACCGGGTGAGATATTTTCTCTACCGAGACTTGTCGCCGGAAACTAAAGCGCAGAGACAGAGATATCGGAAAATTTGGTCTCCGCCTGCTGAGCTTTGCGGAATCAGGTAAATTTTCTTACTGGTTTTGTTCTATTAAGATTTGAAGATTTTGTGTTTCGTGGTCTTGTTCTTCGTTTGATTCCTTAATCTATATCCAGAACCATTCTTTTTCATTTTTTTTTTTGCGGCGTGAGGGTGAAATAGTCTTTTTGGGTTACACGCTGACCTGGTCGTGAGTAGTTGACTAAATGACGCATTTACTCCTCAACTTTATTAAGAGTCCCATGGGTATTTTCGTCATAATGAGATAAATGATTTTTTAAGTCTTTTCTCGCGTGAGTAACAAGCCAAGAATCTCCATTTTCTAAATCTATTGATATTCTCAATTTCCCTTTTTCTCTCTCGACGATTCTCTATCAAAGTGGAACCATAAAATTAAAGAAAACCCTAACCCTAATTCCAATCATCTGTTCTTCCATTCACGATTTGTGTTTTCTTTCTTTTTTAATTTGCAGTAGGATTTCGATTTAGAGTTTGGGCGATTCTCAATTATGGGTTCCGAGCAAAACGACGGCACAAGCTTCTGTCCCTCAGAGCCAAAGCTCTGCGTCAATGGCTGTGGCTTCTTCGGAAGTCCATCGAACATGAACCTCTGTTCCAAATGCTACAGAGACATCCGAGCCAAGGAGGAGCAAGCCGCTTCTGCTAAAGCCGCCGTCGAGAAATCGCTAAACCCTAACAAACCCAAAATCCAACCACAACAGAGCAAGGATGTCACTTCCGGCGTTGTCGAATCCGGGTCCTCATCATCATCAACGAGCGGCGACGGAGCAGCTCCCGTGGATCCGCCGAAATCGACGGCCACGAGATGCTTGAGCTGCAACAAGAAAGTGGGCGTGACGGGTTTCAAGTGCAAGTGTGGGAGCACTTTCTGTGGAGCTCATAGATATCCAGAGACTCATGACTGCGAATTCGATTTCAAAGGAGTGGCCAGAGAAGCTATTGCTAAGTCCAATCCTGTGGTGAAGGCTGATAAGGTTGACAGGATATGAATTGGTGATAAGACAAAAATGTCTGCTTGTGTTCTCTTTGTTTTCAAAGGATCGTGATGTTGGTTGCTTTGGCTCTTTTTTTTTTTATGCTCTTGTTATCGTTTGATTTGCTCTCTAGGGTTTCTTAGGAAGTTAGGGTTTGCTATTATATGTGATTTCATGATTTGGAACGCTGGATTTGTTGTTCTGTAATAAAATTTGTTCGTTATATCAGAAGATTTGTGTTCTTTATTGTTAGAGCTTACTTCTTCTTACCTGGAGGAAGTTGAATCGTTTGAAGTTGTTGAATTTGTCTTGGCTTGTTTATAGGGGAATTCATGGACAAGTTTGGGGTTGTATGTAGCTTATGGTGGATAAAAGTGCGTAGCTTGATAGTTCTGAACTGAAGGTATCGTCTTAAGGAGTTGAATGTTCTTATTGATGTATCTTACTACTAGGATTCTCTTGGTTTGTTTATAGGGGACTTATTGAGAAGTTGGGGTTCGTATGTAGCTTATGGTGGATTGAGTGTGTCGCTTGATAGCTCTGAAACTGAAGATGTCTTCCAGGGAATTTATCTGTATCAAACCGTGGAAGATACCTCTGGTTTGTTTTATAGTGGAGTTATGAAAAAGTGGGTTTGTATATAGCTTATGGTGGATAAAGTAAGTATCTTTATAGTTGTATTAAACCGTGGAAGATACCTGTGGTTTGTTTTATAGTGGAGTTATGGAATAGTGGATTTTGTATATAGCTTATGGTGGATAAAGTATGTAACTTGATAGTTGTATCAAGCCATGGAAGATACCTCTGATTTGTTTATATGGGAGTTATGAAAAAGAGGGGTTTGTATATAGCTTATGGTGGATAAAGGATGTAACTTGATAGTTGTGAAACGTAAGATGTCGTCTTGGGAGTTTATCTGTAGTGAAAAAGTGGGGTTTATATATAGCTTATGGTTGGTAAACTATGTAACTTGATGATTCTGAAACTGAAGATGTCGTGTAGGGTATCTGTATTGAACCATGGAAGAGTTGGATGTCTTTAGTTGAGGTGTTTAAGTGTCCTGGATTGAATGAGTTATTGATTTTGCTACTTCGTCTTAGCTGGGGAAATTAGTGTTCTTCTTACCTGGAGAAAGTTTGATTCATTTATAGTTGTAGAACTTGGAATAAGTGGAGTTTGTATATAGCCTATGGATGATTAATGATTGAAGTTGTCAAAGTAGTTTATCTGCATCAAACCATGGAAATATTAAGAGATGTCTTGAAGTTTAGGTGATAGCATTCAGTGAATGAATAAATCATTGATTTCTGTCATCGCACTTTACTTGATAGATTTGAAGGGGCTCGGTTATGGCCAGGATTGCAGATTGTAGACTCTATTAAGATGGTTTGATTAATAGGATTCAGAGTAGTAAAAGATAGCAGGAGTTGTAGTTGAAGCTGGTGGTCAGTTAAAACGGCTGGTTGAATTAGCCAATGGGCCAATGCAGATCTTTGAATGGTGTGTATTGAACATGTCGCTGTCTACAATCAAGTCCAATAGTTGTATCCGATCTGTTTTCTATTAAAGGAGTATCTATCCAAATATATTAATGTCTTTGCAGGGCCGCTGAAATGATCTGAAATTTTGCACTATGAACTAGATTTGATTTCCAATACAGTTTTTATATTGTCTAAACTCTTAACCGAGAATTGAATGAAATTAAAATTGTGATGTCAAAACTGAGATTGCTTAACCTAGGAGTTGAGATAAGACTGTTTCTTTGGTATGAACTGAAAAAGAAGAAGAAATGATATATAACTTGTGTCCTTTTGATATGGTAAACTGTTGTTTTCACCATCACTTCTTTGATGGTTACATTACAAATCTTGGGTCCATATTCCGGATCTTATCAAACAATTTACAAAAAGCAAAGAGAGAAAAAGTAATGCACTATAGTTGTCTGTATAAAAAAACCTAACAAATGAACATATGTAAAAGACTTTTAATATTTTCAACTGTGAAGTATGTTTTGTACTTGTTTGCTATAAGGCTTTTATAATTTTTCTCTTATATATAAAGAAATAGTGGGAAGATGAAGGAAGACCTTATTGCGACATTGCAACCTTTGGAAAACCACTTTCAGGCCCATGTCATGATGCAAAATATCAAATGATCTGACCTTGCATCAGTTGTATAACCTTTCAGAACGTTTTTGTGTGTTTGTGTCTAGTATATATCACTATCCAATATGATCAATAATTATACATGATTCTGAAATTACAAAGAGGAAACGAAAAAACGACCTTTTAATAATATCTAGAATAAAAAAGAAAACTCTTTTGTTGGGTGAATGAATATAACTCTCACTTTTAGTAAGTCCAGGCTAGTTGAGGAAGGCCCCTACACGAGTACAAATATACTGAGTGCTTTGAATAAGTTTCCCTCTTTATACATCAATGCTGCAGTATATAGATAGACTAATAGAGCACTAGAATGACAAAAAATAAAAAAGAAGGTTTCATTTAACATTTGATTATGAAATACTTATGTTCTGAGTGAGCTTCTATGAGTACTATTTGAACATGTTCAATTAAAATGTTTTTTTTTTAAAATTACGATCGGTGCTTTTTGATATAGAAAAAATCATGATGTTTTGGACCATGTCTACAAGGACTTACACATCTCAGAATTAATTTGATATTGAGTTAACCAATCTATAATTTTGATTATGATTATACTAGATTCAATTCATCTAAAAAATACACCTTCTACTGTATGAATAAGTTTTCTTTATTTAATAAAAAAATTGAATGGAAAAAACTTTTCATTGAGAGGCGATTTGACAAATTTACTTTTTTTTTTAATGGGGACCCTTGAAATCCCTTTATTGTTGTTATTGCCTTTTCTTTTTTAAATTTCCACTTTTCTCAGTCCAAAAACTTTTGTTCCTTTTGATCCTCTAATCATGCTTTAAAGAGACGAATTCAAATTTAAATGTTTTTTTTAAAAAACTCATTCAAATATAGGTATAGTATTATGGCGAAATGATGATATGATTATGAACAATGTGGTTGACTACACCAGTCACCCACACACCACACACCACCACACACGAACCCTACTACTAGTAGACAAGATTGGTATATTCTAACAAAAAAATTTAGTAAGCCAAATTTGACATATCTCGTGACTGGAATTAGAGTTAGATGCTCTCGCATTGCATTGCCTAAGCATTAATAAATTGGTTCACGCGGAACAAACAACAACAACAACAAACAAACGTACCGTACATACATATAGAGAAGAGAAGAGACCAACTGAGTAAATTACTTGACCAACAAAGGGCATTTAAGTCAAAACAGGTAAATGAATCATCAATCTTTAGGACCCAACTTGTTGTTGTTGATGTTTGGTTTTTTAACTGTTGTCACGCCTCCTCACACGATTCCCTTCACTTCACTCAACAACACAGACTCTCTCTCTCTCTCTCTCTCTCTCTCTCTCTCTCTCTCTCATTTTGTTCTTTTGGAATTTTCCCGAGAAAAATTAAAACTCCGAGCAAAAAAAGTAAAGGAATTTTCTCGGGAACTTGTAATAGTAAAATTGAGGGAAACACGAGAGAAGAAAGAAGAGAACCTTCTCTCTGTTTTCTTACAAGACTTCCCAATAGACTTTGTTTGGTCGTTTCTTTTTGGATTTTATGCGTTTGAAGAAGAAGAAATGTCAACTACTTCAGGAACCGGAGCTGTCAATTACAGAAACGGTACTCATAGAAGCTCACTCAGAACTCAGCCCTCTACTTCCTCTGCTCACAAACCTTCTTCTCTCAAATCCAAGTCTCTCCTCAGAAAGAGCAGCCCCGCCGCACTTGGTGGCGCCGGCGGCTCTAAGTCTGGAAGCGGTGGCGACGCCGGTGGTAAATATTACAAAATTCATATTTTTCACCTAGAAATTTCACTGTTTCGATTATTTTACTCCTTAAAGATATAAACTTTTTGATTCATCATGTGTTTGAGATGTTGGATTAAGTTCTAGCTGGATTATAATTTGGTGTTGTGATTTTTGTTTTTTATAGTTCCTGGTAGAGTTCGAGTAGCTGTTAGATTAAGGCCACGCAATGGGGAGGAAATGATTGCTGATGCTGATTTTGCTGATTGTGTTGAGTTACAGCCTGAGGTACATTGTGATTTATACACTTGATGTTTGTATTTTTTTTTGAAAATGTGGAGAGCTCAATCTTGTGACGTTCTTGTTTGATTCTTTTAGCTTAAGAGGTTGAAACTCCGGAAAAACAACTGGGACACTGATACCTTTGAGTTTGATGAAGTGCTTACTGAGTATGCTTCTCAGAAGAGGGTTTATGAAGTTGTGGCAAAACCTGTTGTGGAGGTAATATATTAGATGTGTACTAGACCTTCATCAAAGTTCCAGAGTTTTGGAACTGTTCTGTTGTTGAAACAATAAGATGAATTTGAGTGTAGGGTGTTTTGGATGGTTACAATGGGACAATAATGGCGTATGGTCAGACCGGTACTGGTAAGACATATACACTAGGGCAGCTCGGGGAAGAAGACGTAGCTGATCGTGGAATAATGGTCCGTGCTATGGAGGACATTTTAGCCGAAGTGTCTTTGGAGACTGATTCTATATCTGTCTCCTATCTGCAGGTTGCTTATATTTCTATATACTGTTCTACTGTTAAGTCTCATGTGTCTTCTTGGAAAGTCTTAATAATGTTTGTTTGCTGGATGTAAATGCAGCTTTATATGGAGACTGTACAAGACCTTCTTGATCCGTCCAATGATAACATTGCCATAGTTGAGGATCCGAAAAGTGGAGATGTTTCACTTCCAGGTGCCACCTTGGTCGAGATTAGGGATCAACAAAGCTTCCTGGAACTACTGCAACTCGGAGAAGATCACCGGTTCGCTGCTAACACCAAATTGAACACAGAGTCATCCCGTAGTCATGCTATCTTAATGGTGAACATTATCAATATTGATCCTGATTTTGCTTGAAGAGTTGTTGGTAATAAACTTGCATACTCATAGCCAACTACTGTAAATTGCAGGTAAATGTTAGGCGCTCTTTAAAACCAAGAGATGGTTTGTCAAGTGAGAGTAATGGAAACTCCCATATGACTAAATCTCTCAAGCCTCCTGTTGTCCGGAAGGGAAAATTAGTTGTGGTAGATCTTGCTGGATCGGAACGTATCAATAAATCAGGTTGATATTTTCAGTAAATGGACTTTAGGAGTACCTACTTTTTATATTCCTCATTTACACTTAGACAACTAACAACTTAAACTTCAAAGTTATACTGAACAACTTTGTGTTAATATCCATCTTTGTCTTCTTTTTTCTGAACTTATGTTTATTTATATATTGTACCAGGAAGTGAGGGACATACACTAGAGGAAGCCAAATCTATCAATCTCTCTCTGAGTGCGCTGGGGAAATGCATCAATGCACTTGCTGAAAACAGTTCTCATGTTCCATTCCGTGATTCAAAGCTAACTAGACTGCTTAGAGATTCATTTGGAGGCAAGTTTGTCTCTGCATTAGTGTGCACATCTGTATATCTTAGTATTAAGCGATAATATTGAATCCTTTCCCGCATGTACTTTGTTGACTTGCTTGACATGTGGCCTATGATCTCAACAGGCACTGCAAGGACTTCCTTAGTTATTACGATTGGTCCATCACCACGACATCGAGGGGAGACTACAAGCACTATAATGTTTGGGCAGAGGGTAGGGCCTATAGCTTTGGACTTCTTTTTTGTTTGATTATTGCATTTACGGTTAATGATATACAGTATGAAGACTATTAGCACGGCTCTTTTGATTACAATTGGTATATGATGGTACTGTCCAGTTGAATTTTTTTGTTCCACGTTTTCAACGTGTAATATATTAGTTCACTGCTTGCTATTTCAAATTCTTAATTTGCTTATTTTGATGGCTACCTTTAACGGTTGGGTATCTATAGGCTATGAAAGTGGAGAACATGGTGAAGTTAAAGGAAGAGTTTGATTACAAAAGCTTGTCTAGGAGACTAGAGATACAACTAGACAATCTAATCGAGGAAAATGAAAGGCAGCAGAAAGCATTCGTTGATGAAATCGAAAGAATAACCGTAGAGGCACATAACCAAATTTCTGAGGCTGAATCGAGATATGCCAATGCACTAGAGGTGAGTACTTTTTGTAAGATGATGCAACAAGACTTTTGCTATTGAGATGTATCGTTGGTGTATGATTCAGTAATCATATCCTTTTGTAGGATGAAAAGCAAAGGTATCAGAATGATTACATGGAATCAATAAAGAAGCTGGAGGAGAACTGGTCAAAGAATCAGAAAAAGCTGGCTGCTGAAAGACTTGCGCTTGGAGAGAAAAATGGACTGGACATCACATCAAATGGAAATGTAATGCATGACATTTTGTTCACCTTGCGGCTATGGATGCATCATTCACTCCACCTGATTTACATATTTTCTTTCTTTTCTTACAGAGATCAATAGCCCCAGCCTTAGAGGAAGTCTCTGAACTGAAAAAGTTGCTTCAGAAAGAAGCGCAGTCAAAGATGGCGGCTGAAGAGGAAGTGAATAGGCTGAAACAACAGCTCAATGAATTTAAAAAAGTGGAAGTATATTTCGAAAACCTTCCTGTAACAAGTTTTTTTTGTGGATTGTTCATTTTCAGCTCGAAGTTTTTATTGAGCTACAATTGCTTTATTTGCTTAGGTGTCTGGAAATTCTGAGATCATGAGACTCCACAAGATGTTGGAAAACGAGACACAACAAAAAGAAAAACTAGAAGGAGAAATAGCTACACTGCATTCTCAACTACTGCAATTGAGTCTTACTGCTGACGAGGTAAAGAGCATAACAGGGATCTTTCACATAAAAATGCATGCTCCTTATGTATCAAGTTGTTCCATTTTTACTTAATTCCTTATATATATTTTTGGCAGACTCGACGAAACCTTGAGCAACATGGTTCAGAGAAAACTTCTGGTCCTCGAGATTCTTTAATGTCTCAGTTAAGACTTCCTCAGATTCAAGATCCAGGAAATGCTGAGAAACCTCCTGTAGCTAGACTGTTTGAACAAGGTAAGTTCTGACGTTTCACACCATCAGTTGGTTTTGTTACCAGTTACATTACAGGAAAACATATATAACACCTTGTACATGTTTGCCTCTTAAAGTGGGGTTGCAAAAGATCTTGTCTCTGCTTGAAGCTGAAGATGCTGATGTACGGATTCATGCTGTTAAAGTGGTAGCAAATCTGGCTGCTGAAGGTGTCTTTCCGCAATCTTCATCCTTTTGCCTTTTATTTTGTAATTGCTTGCTACTATTTGAGAGGCTCATTATTTCAATCAACTGTTCATTGTATGTAACTCCAGAGGCAAACCAGCAACAAATTGTGGAAGCTGGTGGTCTTACCTCCTTGCTGATGCTTCTGAAAAATACAGAAGATGAGACTATTCACAGAGTTGCAGCTGGTGCAATCGCTAATCTTGCAATGAATGGTAAAAAAAATTGTGGTTATCATGAGTTAAATTCTTTAGTTTATCATCTCATATCTTAGTATTTTGTTAATGAAACCAAGTCCTATTTGCTCTTCTTATTCACAGAAACTAACCAGGAGCTGATCATGGATCAAGGAGGCATCGGTTTATTGTCATCAACGGCAGCCAATGCTGAAGATCCTCAGACCCTCAGGATGGTTGCTGGAGCAATTGCAAATCTTTGTGGAAACGGTATTTTCGATTCACCTCTCTTTTTGCTCACTTTATTATGAAAAAGAACTCACAAGCTATATAATATTGGTTAAATCCTGATAATACATTGGATTGTTTTTGCATCCCACAGATAAATTGCAGACAAAACTAAGATCAGAAGGTGGAATTGCAGCTTTGTTGGGGATGGTCAGATGTGGACATCCTGATGTTCTTGCACAAGTTGCTCGAGGGATCGCTAACTTTGCGAAATGCGAGTCAAGAGCATCAAACCAAGGTACAAACCTTATTAACTTATCCGATATTGTCTTTGGCAAACGTGAAACATTGTATTGACTAAATGCATTTCACTTAGCAGGAACTAAAAGAGGGAAGTCACTATTAATAGAAGACGGTGCACTCTCTTGGATTGTACAAAATGCCAAAACCGAAACTGCAGCCATAAGACGACACATCGAGCTAGCTCTCTGTCACTTAGCACAACACGGTAAGTGTGTTAAGTTCATATAATATATATACATTGAACAAATTGATTGGTTTTTGTCCCGTGTAATAATAATATGGTCATAATTGTAACACATAATATCGGGTTTTGCAGAAGGAAATGCGAAAGAGATGGTGAAGGAAGGAGCGATATGGGAGCTGGTGAGGATCTCAAGAGACTGTTCAAGAGAAGACATAAGAAGTCTTGCTCATAGGACACTCACTTCAAGTCCTACTTTCCTAACTGAACTAAGACGTCTCCGTGTTGACATCCGGTGAGCTGGTTTCACGCCTAACTTAACTGAACCGAAGCGCAGTATAAAAGGATAAAATAGCATTCTACCGGAATTTTGAGATCAAGATTTGTCTGAAATTGTTTTTTATCTTTGGTTTAGTAATTAGTAGGCTGGTTTGTGGTTTTCCTTGTGGCTTTGGCATTTTTGTTGTTGTTTGGGGTTTGAATGTGTAAATTATTTTTTGGTGGGTTTTGTTTGTGTATGTAGGATGTGTGTAGTAGATGGAATTAGTGGATTTGTGACCAATAAATTGGAAAAAGAAAACTTTTCCCAAAAAAAAGAAAGAAAGAAATTAAGACTAAAGGGTTACGATAACTTCTTTTGGAACAATTACACCCAAAATTAAATAGGATGTGTTGATTAGTTAGATGGGTTTTGTATGTGTATATAAGATGTGGGGTGTAGATAATACAATTAGGAGCGTTAAATTCGAAAAAGACAAAAAAAAAAAAACTTAGGGGTTATAGTAACCTTTTTTGAACAATTCTACAAACAAAATTATTATATAGGATAAAATTATTTTGGTGGGTTTCGTCATTCGTATGTGTGTATATAAGATGTGAGGCCAACCCGTTATACTCTTATATGAGAATATACGATTTTATTAATGTACAGTTATGATCTCAACAGATACGACGATACTCGTGTATATATATATATACCTATGTCATCAATGAAATATCGTCTGCATGCATGCATGCAAGTTACACAATTAAGTGTTATGGTATAATACTGCTGTTTTGAACGTCTAATAATTAAGTTATTATTCATCTGTAATTTGCAATTATACTTTCATTTTCTCTTTAATTAACAAAAAAAAAAGAAACACAAAGATACGTTTAAACAAGTATATGGAATATCAATAAAGAACAATTGTTGGTATCCTTAATTAAACCTTTCTGACACAGACGTATTGACTTACCTGCAACCAAAAAAACAAAAATGGAATGAACTCAAATTATTAACTACTCCTACTGAAACTAAAGTGTAGAGAACTCTACCAATTGGTGGGCATTGATGCATTAGCACATCCTCCACTTAAAAACAATATAGAATATCATTAATTTTACATAATGTAAACTACTAACATACAAATTAGCTAATTCATGTATTGTAAGAAAGCTAAAGAATTTGTAATATTTATGAAAAAAATAAAGCTCATATATCTCTAATTTTCCTCTATAAAAAGAAAGCTCAAACATCTATTTTTCTCACTACTAGCTAAAGAGATCAAAGAGACAATCATGGATGCTCTTAACAAAAACTCTACTGTTCTCATCATCATTTTCTTAATAACCATCTCCCAAACCTATTTTTCCCTTCTTAACACCGATCATATCGCAACGGACGATGATAGCGTGAATGACTTCATCACCTCCCTCATCAAAAGTTGCAAAAGAGAAAACAAACAAACATGTAAAACCCACTTATCGGAGCTCGAGTCCTTGTCCTCATCTCTCTCCGCGACAAGACGTCGTGCTTTATTGCTCATATTCTTGAAGGAATCCGTGTCGAAGATCAACACGGCTATGACTAGCGTGAGGCAAGAAGAAACATCGACGGCAAAGGAAAACTTGGTTTTAGTTTATGAGATGTGGACATCAGCAAAAGATGGAATCATCGACTCAATGGAGGAACTTCGTAGAGCTGGAGAAAAGCTTAGTCCTAAGTCTTACGCTAACATTCACACATGGCTTAGCAGCGTGCTTACGAGTCATCTAACGAGTTTGGATGAAACTTATGAAGGTCCATTTAAACGTAATGTTGGGTCGGTGCTTGAAGACCACATTGCTAGAGCACGAGTGGCGTTGGCTATTTTTACCTCAATTTCCCCGAGACACTCCGAAATTAAGTCGACGTCGGTGGTTCCTGATCATCCGTCGTGGTTATCCGATGGGGACAAAAAAAATCTTAATCTCTCTCCTCAGGTACGTAATAACCCTAATATTTATAGTTACGTGCTAAAATTAAATTATTTATAGTTTATTTAGAGATGTTTTATTTGCAGTAATAAAAAAGAAATTAATACTATTTTTCTTTGTTTTAAAAAAAAAACTGTTATAGAAGCACAAAATGTTGAAATTATTTTTTTCTCATAAAAAAGGTTATAGTAAAAGCCTACTATAATTATGGCCCTAATAAAATAAATGCCCGGAATTTCTATTCTATTTTTCTTGATTAATAATAGTTTACGGTATTTGTTTTTACCAATCTATTAAAAGATCCTAATACATGGATTTTTCTTTCTTTTTTTTGTAATTTCAGCGGTACTTTACTGCTTTGTGTATAAAAACAATAAATTTTCAAACGGTTAATGAATTGTTTTTTTTGTTTCGGTTTAACATTGTAGGTTTTGAAACACACTGCTGATGTGGTGGTTGCTAAAGACGGCAGCGGAAATTACCGCAGCATTAATGAGGCAATTGCGGCGGCACCAAGACTTAGCGCCAAACGATTTGTCGTGTATGTGAAGAAAGGCATTTACGTCGAAATTGTCAATATTGCCACACACAATATTACTCTAATTGGCGATGGTCCAACATCAACTATCCTCACGGGTAGTTTAAACCGTAATGATGGTACAAAAACGTTTAATACTGCAACTCTTGGTAATACTTTTTTTCTCTTCTTTCCCAATAAGCGTATGCAATAGATAAAAGTTAAAACACAACAAGTGTTTTGGGCTTGGGCTCAAAGAGTGGATTCATATAAAACACAATAAATGTATTCAGATAATGAACTTGTTGGGCTGGACTAGTATTTCTTGTTTCTGTTATTGGTCCTGAAATAGTTTATTTTAAGCCCAAATAATTTATTGTTTCTTTTAATGGACCTGCAATAGTTTTGGTCAACCCCAAAACACTTTTGTTGTGTTTTATTTGTTACATACACTCACTCATTAACTCTTTCTTTATATCAAGCTATTCAAATATCCTAGTTAAATTTTCGATTGCAGCTTCTAATGGTGATGGTTTTTGGGCGATTGATATGTGTTTTCGAAACACAGCCGGGCCTACAAAGGGACCAGCGGTAGCCCTCCGTGTCAGTGGAGATATATCTATCATATACCGATGTAGGATAGAAGGATATCAGGATGCGTTATACCCTCACAGAAAGCGTCAGTTTTACAGAGAGTGCTACATCACCGGGACGGTCGACTTCATATGTGGATTCGCGTCTGCCGTCTTCCAATATTGCACCATTGTTGCAAGGAAACCAATGAACAAGCAGGCCAACATGATCACGGCTCAAGCACGCCCGAATTTGAAGAAAGTATCAGGATTCACGTTCCAAAAATGCAATATCACTGCCAGTGCGGATTTAGCCAACGTCAAAACCACAGTGAAAACCTATCTCGGCCGTCCGTGGAGTGAGTATGCAACAGTTGCATTCATAGAATCGTATATTGATGATCTAGTGGATCCTGCGGGTTGGGCAGAGTGGAATGGCAAGATTGGTGTCAAAACTTTCTACCGTGAATACGACAACCATGGGTCGGGAGCTGATACGAGTAGGAGGGTGAAATGGACAGGGTTCAAAGCTACTACAGACCCAAAAGAAGTGACGTACTTCACTGTTACCAAACTTCTACAGGGAGAACTATGGCTCAATGCGACTGGGGTCCCGTACGAAGGAGGTTTTTGATCATCATTCTCATGTTACATTGATGTCTAAACTTCTTATTATATTATCCAATCAAATAATTTCTTCTCATATTAATACGTGGTTGAAAAAAGAAAGTTATACATTATGACCAAAATGTTAGCATATCCAAATCACCAGCAAAGAAAATTAATTCCTCATTTATTTTTCTTTAAAATTAAATATTATAGAAGAAGACTACACAAAAGTACATGTAAGGCCGTGATTCTAGAGAACAGAACAACGAGTTCAAAAACGTCTGTATATGCTTGATGTATCCGCGTTTTGCACAAATCATTGGTGCTTAAGAAGCTTGTGCAAGGTCAAACGTTAGACTCCTTAACCAACATCTATATGAATCAGAAAGTGCGAAAAGTCAGAGATTTCACTCTTCAAATGCAGAAAAGCTTTAAGAGAGATTACGAGGTATGAGAGTAGGAACCTAGCTAATAAGGTCATTTGCATATGAAGATTGAAGACACAATAAGTTTAGAAGGGAACTTGAGGTGCACTTGGACAATCTGGGAGCAGAAGTGTCTGATATAAAAACACAGTAGAGAGGTTTTACTTACCCATCTCAGGTGGAAGGTAATCAAGAGTGCCAGACATGAACGTGTGCGCAGACCATCCAAAATCTTACTAGTCTGTAACAAGAGTAAATAGAACAGACTAGAGAGGTTCAAGCTCAGATTTAGAGGCCAGGTAAGGTCAATACTCAATATCACTAGGACTCACAGTTGCTGCGCAGAAGTAGTTGCATATTTGTAGCTCTTTATGAAGCTGACCTCTAGCTGCATACTCTAAATAAAACAGAATCATGGTTAGCCATGTTTGGACCAAATTAAACAGCTTTTCTGATTTCCTGATTTTTATCTGGACGCCAAAATTTTCTTAATTACCTGTGACGTAGCTGTTCTTTCAACTCCAAGAAGCTTGAGTAAAGAGAGCGATTCGTTAGTTTCAGTGTCTTAAAACGGACTTGCTTGAAAGCACTCTTTTTCGGCTGTAGCACGGAATCGCCGGAGATGTGTCGCTTCTCGCTTCTGAACCGGAAACGGAAGCGGAATCGTGCTTCTAGAATTGAGTCTTTTGGAATCGTAGTGGAAGCGTGGAGGAGGAGATTGGAAGCGTCGCCGCGAAATCTTAGATTTAGTTAGATCTTAGATTTTTTATTTCTGATTTTGGTTAATATTGAACAACATAATTAGATTTAGCAAAATAATGTACAAAAAATGAAAGAAAATGAAAGAAATTATGAAAAGAAAATGAAAACTACCGCCGTCTGTAGTTAGGGTTTTACAAAAAAAAAATTGGGGAAGAAGATGATTAGCAGATATTTACGATAATACCTTTATTGTTTTGTATAAAATTTTAAACAAGTAGTATCTTGATCGAACTCATTTGCTTAGTCACACCACAACAAAACCACTGTACCACATTGCATTATTTATATAAGTGACAAAACTAATATATATATATATATATATATATATATGTATTACTTTTAAAAACATCATATTAGATATTTGATAAAAACATATTATAAATATATATTTCTTTATTTATATGTATTTACACTTCCAACACGTATCCGCTTCCTAAAATTTTCAAGAAAATCGATTTCACGTTTTCAAACGCTTCCGTTTTCACGTACCCGCTTCCGATTCCATGCAGCTTAGATTCTAGTACCACAAATCCTAATCAATTCAGACAACTAAATTCACATACAAAAAGACTATAGTAAATAATGTCTGTTCCAGATAAACCTAAAAATCCAGACATCAAAATACCATTAAACTAACTACATGATTAAGTAAGAAACTTCCAAAGTGTTCTCACCAGAATCACGATAATCATCTAAATCGGTTACCATAACTATATACCTAGAGAATGCACACTTAACGCAAGCATTATGAAACTATAAGATATGTTGGTTAAGTACCAAAAGTGTAAAAATTACAACTTTGGGTTAGAACTCTAATTACATGGTAA